ATATATATATATATATATATATATATATGTTTATATATATCATGTGATATGAATTGAAAACTCTCACATCATATATCCTGGCACAGGATTAATGCTTGAGAACCCATTTTGAATATGCTTCATTTTAAAGTGCAATGGCTGGCATCACCTCAAATCTTAGTAACATATCATCAATTAATTCATGATTGAAATGCTATTTTTTTTATAGAAAAATATTTTTATTACTAATGTGTCGATTTTCCTCATTCATATCACAAAAGCTCTAAATTTAAGCAAATTAAGCTCTATTTATTGCATAAATATTCTGCTTTAGTTGCTCCAGTATCAATCCCACACAGTTGTATGGTCTCATACAAGTATTGAACACACTAATATGTAATCAATGAATATAACTATAAGTTAGATAAACCATGACTTAAATACGTGATTCATCAAATCCAAGAACAATGCAAAGTGCACTAGTTACTTCAAATAACATTAATTAAAAGCTCATAATGACCCTAATATGTATTTAATATTTTCTTTCCCATATTATCATCCACTACTTTTATTTAATAAAACATTGATTTAAATATATCTAAAATAACACAGATGCACCCACCAAGGGTCCGTTTGAGGCAGCTTGTGCGTTTCAGGATAAGCTGTTTATCCTGAAACGCGGCCCGCGGGTCGGTCAGTCGCCCCGCGGCCTGCGTTTAGTGTAAAAACTCAAACGCAGTTTCAGATAAACTGGCGAAACGAGCGAACTAAACGGTACGACGACGTTTTCAAAACGGGCGAACGCCGCCCGCACTTATAAGCTCCCCCGGGCAGCTTGTGCGTTTCAGGATAAGCTGCTTATCCTGAAACGCGGCCCGCGGGCCGACCGCGGGCTCCGTTTAGTGTAAAAACTCAAACGCAGTTTCAGATAAGCTGGTGAGACGTGCGAACCAAATAATACGGCGCCGTTTTGAAAATGCCGCCCGCACTTATAAGCTGCCCCAAACGGACCCTTAATCACAAATTTAGTATAATAAGGTTTTTATATATTTGATTAATTAAAATAGTAAAATAGTTTTAAAATATTTAAATATTAAATATTTAAACACATCAAAATATGTTGGATTTACGCAAGCCTAAGGAAAGTCCAAACGCGGCCTATTGGTATCTATTTCTTCCCGATTCCCACAATGCCCTGTCAAAACCCTAGCCCGAAAATCTCGCCGGATTCACACCGTTCGGCTCTTTGTGGTATTCTTTCTACTCTTTATTTCTGCTGTTACAACTTATTTTTGCGAATCCGCTGTGCTCGAGTTGAAGACAGTGCAGCACACTCCGCCGCACTTTGCGTTCTAGGTTTGTTTGATAGTTTTTAGCTTGGTTTCTAACCTATTTCTGCTTTTTCCGTGAAAGAATTCTAGTTTTTGTTTCAAGATTACTTTTTAGCTGTTCATTCATATGATGTTTTGCCTTGAAGAAATCGCCAACGCTGTAGTTGTCATGAAAGAGTTTTGTTGGAGATCAAATGATTCATGATGTTGGCTCTAGCGTAGGATGATTAATGAAGGCCTAGGTGGCGATTAATCGATGCTCTTAGGGCTAATTTAGCTGCTTGAAATTAGGGAATATGTTGTGGAACATATATAGAACTCTGAGAAATAGATATCCTGGAAGCCCAACAATCTTATAGAACGTCCGCTAGAAATTTTGACAGTCTCTCAAATCAGTTGGAACTGTGCAGAGTAAATTCATAGTTCGTCTATTATTTAGTCGGAAGCTAGCTGAGTTAAAGCTTTATAATGTTCAAAAAATTTTATTGAAGCTCGACTCTTTTTTTTGATAGAGCTTAACCAGGAAAAATAAAAATAAAAAAACTAAAATTTGATGGCCATAATGTATCTAAAATTTCTTGATTATTAGTTTTGAATGCATGAAAAACAAGTTTGTGATGTTTGAAAGATAACCTGGCTTACCTATGCTTAAACAATCACTTATTTTAATATCTATTAAGCCAAGTAATTATAAGCCGCTAACTTTCGTTGGCCTGTTTTTTAACCAACCAAGATGCCTAAGCTTGCTCAAGTCTTAAGCTTACTTACCATCACCTAGCATAACTTTTTTTGGGGCATTTACATATGTACCGTACCACAGAATTCCTACATGTTTACATATCTAGCACCTAAACTTTGTTTTTCTAAAGTTATACAACCTAATTCTTTCATATCACATTTCCATGCGTAGGTAAGTTGGTATACATTTAAAAATTGAGGTTTGGATGTTAGTATATAAATAAATATCGATTGATTGTTATGTATGTTAATTTTCCTATTTTTTATTAGGTTAACTTAAGCCTCGACCAAATATACTTGAAGTGGTGTCCTATTAAGGCACACGAGATTATTAAAATCAGTTCTACATTATTGATGAAAGTTTAAGCTAATGAGAAACCTATCAAATATATTCATTTTTCTATCAATCATAATTCCTTTGAGTTTATTAAACATTTATCAAATAACACTACTCAGTTCTTTATTATCTTCATTCACATAACTTAGTGATGGTGATTGGTGATGTTGACAATCATCAAAGAACATCTCAAGCTTGTGTGCATACTTATCTTGTATAACTGCCATCCGACCTAAGGAGTTTACACTTAAGGCCCCTACTTGGGTCTTTACCATTTATCATATAGGCTTATTTAAATGTGATACAATATTAGTTTATATGTGGTGTACTTAATTCACCACCATAAGAGCTAATTTTATGCAATTTACCATTTTCACTCCACCAAACATAGTATTTAAAGATTAGGAGGAGCATGCTTCTATAAATCTCTAACTACAAGTCTTAGTAATCAATGAATTTATTGAATGTGGGTTCTGATCAAATTGGAAATCAATAAGAAGAGCCTTGATAGATTGCTCACTCACTCTTAGGTTGCACGGTCTTGGTTTTATCTAATATTCTCTCTTACTCCATTTGACATTATAATGCAAAGCTTGTTGTATACATGACTCATGAAATATTCTCTTAACATTTATGACTTATAATATGAAGACATTGTCCAGAGATTCAAATAAGCTAATTCATATAATAATATAAGAATAAAATTGAGGGTGGCCCTCTCTCTTTAGCTAGAACTTTTGGGTTAAAAATAGGTTTTAACATTGTTATATCAAGTCCAACTAGATTTATTAGCATAAAAAATATTAAATGATTGACTCTATCATATAAACTTAAGTTTTTGGGTTCAAAATGGGCCTGATCACTGGTATATTGAGTCTAAATCCATTTCCTTTTTGGCCCTCACTTTGAACACATCAATGATTATTTATGCCATTGATTAAATATCTTATGTGAGTTGTGCAACTTGGACTATTCATTCAGGTGAAATACTAAGCGCTTAAATTTAGCTCAGTATGGTAGTCAATAACACCCATGGTATAATTAACGGATTTGGGCTATTATCGGTATTTTTGAAACACATTTGCTATCTTTACTTTTGCTATGAAACTTTCTAATTCTCATGTGCATGTCAATAATGCTCCCCATAAGTGAGAAATTTATACATCAGTTATTGCTCCGCCTCATATGAAACTTTATAATATATTAAATGCTATGAAACAAAAACCCTTACACTTTGTTTGACCATAGTAGAAGCAACTATGACTTATGGGAGTCTTAAATAGCACAAGCACTTGAACTTAGTCGAATCTTTCACTTGGATACTATTCCTTCGGAGGGTGAAGTGCTAATGGTCAATTCTAAGCCGAATATACTTGTGAGTAGATACCAATAAATTTAAATCCTTAAAATAAGATTGATAATCATTAATAAGATACTAGTGGTAGGAGTTTAAGCAAAATCAAGAACGATGTTTAATCTTGATTTAAAAAAAATCCTTATGGCTATCAACACCATAGAATTGTTAAATATTTACTCTATAAGGTGCTACGGTATTATTTTGTTACAGTTTTGACTTATTTTCAAATTTCTTACATAAATAAAAACTCATATCATTTTATCTAAATTACAAAGTGTATTATCACATGTTGTGTTGGCCTACTTCAGTTTTATATTTTAATTAATTTTTCAGTTAAGAAAATGACTTAAAAGTTGTTTGTTTAATCTAAAAGTGATACTAACAAAATGTCTTTTAATTAGATCATATGAATTTTATTCGAAAACAAGAAATCTACTTTTACTACAAATTTATTTAATCAGTGTAACATTACTTTTTGTTTTATAGGCTATAATGATAATGAATGTAAACTATAACAGTTCATTATATTGGGAGATGCAACTTTGATTTCATAAACCAATATTCTAGTCTTTGTACTACAACTTTGTAAACTCACAGTTCATTATATTGGGAGATGCAACTTTGATTTCATAAACCAGTATTCGACTCTTTGTACTACAAATTTGTAGAGAAGCAAAAAAAATATGGATTGTAATTATTTTCACGTATGTTGCCATGCTATAGTAAATATTTATCATTATATAGTCTATAAGTTTATATTTTGTATATTATACTATTATTTCTTGATTTTTCTCACCACCAACTTGCCAAATTTTAATTCACATTCTTTCCTAATCTTAGGAATTATGAGAAAGTAATGAACAAAGTTTTCTTTCTTATTTTCATATTTATGAGGAATATTTGACACCATAGCAATATGTTTTTATCGTTAATTTCATATTATATATCATAAAACATTATAATATTAGTCCGCTTATATAAAATATAATAAATATATTAACTTATTGATATAGAAATATTGTTTATATCAAAATTATTAGGAAGTGACAACAAAATTATTATAGTCATTCTACATATATTTTACCTACCGTTTTCATTGATGCATCTTCTATCGTTCTTCATAAACATAGAGTTCAAGCATTCTAATCTCACTCAACTTTTTTAATGCCGATTTCTCTTACACCCAATCCGTTTCTCATATCTGCGCCTTAGAACTCAAAACACCATGGCCACTTATCGAATTGCTTTTGTCATCATGCGCTCCTCTGGAGAGGAGTTCCTCTTGGTCCGGCAAACCCCTCCACCTTCATTTGAGGATGATGATTACCTTCGCTTTGTAGATTCCAAGCTCTGGGACTTACCTTCCGCCCCACTGAAGCCTCTCGCAAAACCGCACCCGTCAAAAGAAGTGATTTTTGGCATTGATTCTCTCCTCGATAAGCTTGATCTTACCACATTTGATGTCGACTCAGCTCTCTCTCAAATCTCTTCTCAACTCGGAAGGGCAACTCCAATCTCCAGAGACTGGTCCGTGTTGAAATATGTCGAAGAAGCCGATTTCGGACCTGACTCGCCCATTAAAACACTCTTTATTGTCGGAAAACTCAATTCGATCTCTTATGTAATCCAACTGAAATAGTAAAATACTTTGTCAATTCTTATGTTTTTCGAACACAAGTAACAACTGCATTATGCATATATTTAATGACTCGAATAAAAATACATGAAGATGAAGATTTATCTGACTCGTGTAAATTTATATCAAAAGAAAGTGCTGCTAAAATTCATTTGCAGTCAACGCCGGGTGGCGATCGTATCGGACTTCTTACAATCATTGGACTTCTTCATCGCGACGACAAATCCCAAAAGCCGCTGCTGCCTCGATCCTTCCTCAACCATTCAATTCAAGAGTACCCTTTAGGCCTCATTGTTGCACCAATGAAAAGTAGAACACAAAAACCATTTTCAACAACAAATCTAGTTCTCATTGTAGCAGAGGATGAAACTATTGAATCTGAAACTAATGAATCTGCCATTTTTAAACATGGAGAAGCTCTTCTAGTGGATCCTGGATGCTCTGTTCAACAGCACTCTGATCTTGAAGATCTCATTAATGCTCTCCCCAGAAAACTTCTTGTTTTTCTCACCCATCATCACTACGATCACATTGATGGTCTTTCCGTCATCGATAAATGCAACCCCGATGCCATTTTGTTAGCTCATCCGAATACGCTGCGACGAATCAATACTACAAGTTGGTCTCACGAGTCTCTCCCAATTTCCGGCGGCGAGACATTACAGATCGGTAGACAGAAACTAGAAATTGTGTTTGCACCCGGACACACCGACGGCCACGCTGCTCTTCTCCATCTGAATTCAAACTCTCTCATCGTCGGCGATCACTGTGTCGGTCACGGGAGCGCTGTTCTTGACATAACGAGCGGCGGAAATATGAAGGATTATTTTGAAACAACTTATAATTTTTTGGATCTAAAACCAAATGTTTTGATTCCTATGCATGGGAGAGTAAATTTGTGGCCTCAAAATATGCTGTGTGGGTATCTGAAGCATAGAAGGGAGAGAGAATTGAGAATTCTGAAAGCTATTGAAGATGGGGCAGAAACTCTATTTGATATCGTTGCCAAAGTTTATGCAGATGTAAGCAGAAGTTTGTGGCTTGCTGCTTCATCAAATGTCAAGCTTCATGTTGATCATTTGGCTTATCAGAATATGTTGCCAAAGGGTTTTAGTTTGGAGAATTTTAATAATAGCTATGATGATTTTTTAAAAAAGATTTCTAGTTTGTGAGCTTTAGGAATTAGAATTATATTTGGTGCGAGTTGTATTGGATTTGAAAAATAAAGTAAGATTTATATACATACCACTCAATTCTTATGTTTTTACATATATGTCATTTTACCTATGCACGGGAAGATGTATTTCACCTTTTTAAATGTTAAAAAGATGGTGCTATTGACGCGGTATGAAAGATTTGGGTGGCATGAATGTAAGATTTGGGTGGCATGAATGTAGGAAGTGAAATTTTGAGTGGTATGTATGTAAATATTCCAAAAATAAATTGTGCAAATAAGGGGTATTGGAAAATATCTGCAATATCATGTAATATAACATCGATAGGATGTTGCTCCTTTATCAACTTGTTATAGTCAGTCTGTTGAGGATGTTGTAGTTTACTGTGGTTACTTTAGATTTTTTTTTCGCATGAAACAAATGATGATGTAATTTCTAGTTATTTATTTTAGAAAATTGAGCCTTAAAAATAAACTTAATATAATAACAAAAAACTTTTATCCGACAAAGTAAGGTTGACGACCGCATAGATCTTTTTTTTTTAATTTTTTCTGGGCCTTATAATCATATTTTCATTTAATTCTAATAAATTAAGAAATTTTTTATGCAACATGGTCAAGTCTTTTTATGTTTACATCTACATTTCTTAACATAATCATATCTAAAACATCTATTTTCTTGATCGAATCATCAGTTGATCAACGTTTAATGTAACCAAACCATTTAAGACAACCTCTAATATGGTTAAGCCAGTGGAGCTACACCAACATTTCATGGATATATTTGTTTCGCATTTTGTTTCTAACAGTACTAGTCACTCGTTCGCTTAAACATTCACATTTCAACAACATTTAACTTAGTTTTATGCTTCTCTTTTGTAGGCCAATATTCTGCATCATAAAACATTGCAAGCCTCACCATTACCTTATAAAATTTTCCTTCTAGTCGAAGCGATATTTTGCTATCACACAATAGGCCCGATTCATTCCTCCACTTCAACCATCCAACTTGAACTCTACTAGTAAAATACCCATTTATATCACGATCATTTTGAACAATAGACCCGATATATTTAAAACGTTAACTCATTTTAATGATTTGATCATCCATTATTACAACTCTATTACTATATCAACTACCATTAAAAGTACATTTCATGTATTCAATTTTTGATCTACTCAAACAAAAGCCTTTAGTCTCTAATGCAGACCTTCATAATTCAAGTTTATTCTTAACTCTTTCTATAGTCTTATCCCTAAGAAGAATATCATCAGCGAAAAACATACACCAAGGTAGATCCTCTTGTAAATATCCAGTAAGTGCATCAATAACTAAAGTAAAAACATATGGCCTTAAATTCGATCTCTTATGTAATCCAACTGAAATAGTAAAATACTTTGTCAATTCTTATGTTTTTCGAACACAAGTAACAACTGCATTATGCATATATTTAATGACTCGAATAAAAGTCATATCAATACCTTTCTTTTTTAGCTCCTAAGAAATTCTCTTGAAATCAAATCAATAAAAATCATAAATAAATATATAGCTTCCTTAGTAGACTTGCCCGACATAAATCCAAACTGATTATGAAAAATCTTTGTATCAGGTTTTAACCTATTTTCAATTACTTTCCCATAATTTTAAAGCATGACATATTAATTTAATTACTCTATAATTTGCACACTATTGTGCATCCCTTGTATTCTTAAAAATGGGGTCAAAATACTGTTCTTATACACTTCAAATGTCTTTTTAGTATCTAAAATAATATTAGAAAGTTTAGTTAGCTAAGAAATCCAAAATCTTCAAAATACTTCCACACTTCTATTAGAATATGATCAGATTTTACTGATTTTTCATCTTTAGTTTTCTTTAAAATCTCATGAACTTCTTTTTTACTTATGTGGCAATAAAAATAAAATAAAAATATTATTCACTAAAACCGCTTGTATTTTTAAGAACATTGAAATATTTATAAAAATGTCTCACCTACCTATGTTGAACATTTTTCTTTAAGAAAAATACTTTTTGATTTTCATCTTTAATACACCTAATTAAATTTTATATTTCTTTTCTCTTTATTGAACTAATACATATATATATATCACCTTATTTAGTGTCAAATCTATTATAAAGATCACTAAACTGATGAAAATTTTAAACTAATTAAAATAAATTTAAAAATATTTATAAGCTGATGAATAAATTTTCTCATTTCCACGTGATAATGTCTTACAAATAGCAACGTCAGCTGGAAAATGCAGCACTTGTTATGCAGATTCGCCAAGCCAGAACAAGGACTTCAAACACATAACACAGCTGACCATGTTGCTCAGAGCGCATGTAAGCTACTTTTGCTATATATTATGGTGGGATTTAGAACTCTTGAATTTAACATCAATGCCACCCAATTTTTATGTATTTGCACATCTAATCCCCAGAATCTCTTATTCACATTCATAGTACTCAAATCTTTAATATCACATTGAAAATATCACTACTGTTAACTTTTTTTAAAATGAAATACACATTTCCACTTATATGTAAATACATAATAATTGTGTGCTATGAATGTAAATTTCCCTAGTTAACATTACATTCATTTTAAAGTAGATTAAAATTTTTAAGATTTAATGTAATAGAAATTTGATCAGAATATGTTTACCTTGATTCTCGTAATGTGTAGCGTTCATGGACTGAAAGAGCAGTTGCAGAATCAGATATAGAGCTAATTATAATCTGCAACAAATGATGTCAGTTAGGAGATTATTATGACACTTTGTTCAATTATAAAACAACAAATGAACTATTTACATAAAACACCCAGCCTAAACTAAACAAACTCTCATGTGTGATCCCTACAAATTATTCTAAGAATCCCATCAATATAATCAACATAAATCTTTTTAACAATATTTGAATTCCACTGAGCCAGTTCTGCTTAGATGTCTCATCTGTTGTACAGAAAATGCACAATCATCTGTATCCATACCTGACATCGTCGCAAAATATATATAAGACGAAATCCAAACGACAATAAAAAGGTAAATATAATTATTCAAGTTGAATAGGGTTACAAAGGTGACTCCTCAACATAAACAATACAAACATGCAAACAAAGAGGACAACGATGATTCTGCGAAAAATACGACAAGAAAACAACACAAAATGCATAAATGCTCATTTGGGAAGAGAGACAGATTCGGGAGAGCAGGAGGCATGGCTGTGAACCGGACAACTGCAGGAAAATGAGTGTTATGAACTGGACAGCGGTTAGAAAGCTCTTGGGGTGGATTGTACAGCTGCTTGACGGTGCTGGAGACATTGGATGTCATCGAGGAGTGACCTGGTGACGAGGGCAGTGGCAGAAAAAGGACAAGCAGCTGCTAGAAAGTGGGATGAAAGGAGTTGTAGTAGATTGGGACAACAGCAAGCAGGTGGTCATGGGCTGGACAACAACAGGAATTGGTGTCCGAGGGCTGGACAATAGCTGGAATAGGTGCCGGCAGCTGGGCAGCAGCAGGAACAGGTCTTGGAGGGGCTGGTGGCAGCAAGAGGTGGTCTGGAAGGGCCTTGGTGGAACAAGCCTGGAGACCTGGGAGTGGAACGTACAGCCATCGAAAGGTGAGTGCTGTGGATTGAATAACAGTTGGAAGGCGCTTGGGGTGTGAACTGGACAACAACTAAAAGGTGTTGGATATGTTGAACGACAGAAGGGAGGAATGAGTGGCTAGGACGGTGGCTGGAAAAGGACTGGAAGTTGTTGGAAGGCAGCAAAAAAGGAGTTGTAGTGGCCTGGGACAGAAGCAGGCAGGTGGCCGCGGGATGGACGACAGCAGAAACTGGCGTCTGAGGGCTGAACAATAGCTGGAACAGGTGTCGGCGGCTGAGCAACAAAAGGAACAGACCTTGGAAGGGCTGGCTGCTAAAACAGCTTTGGAGAGAAAATTCGTTTCTTACTAATTCAATTTAAGGTGTCTTTACATATAGGAGTCTCACCTCCTCAGATAAGGAAACTAACTAAATATGTTTCAATTATTTCCTATTACATTACAAGACTAATTAAGCAAGATTTGGTACAAATATCAAATAATATAAATAAGGAAAATAAAATGTGTATAAGAGAAAAAACAATAAATCATGTAATTTGAATTATATCTTCCAACACTCCCCCTCAAGTTGACATAAAAATATCTTTTAAAGTCAGCTTGCACACTAAACCGTCGAACTGTTTTTTGTGAAGACCCTTTGTTAAAATATTCGCTGCTTGGTCGTTAGAGGGAACATACACCATGCATATATCTCCTTTGTAAATTTTTCTTTGATGAAATGTTTGTCTATCTCTATGTACTTTGTTCTATCATGAAGGACAGGATTGTGGGCGATGGCGAGATGGGACTTATTATCACAGTACACCTTTATTGGTAGCGGACTATGAATTTTTAACTCCTTGAGAATTCTTTTGAGATCTTCTAATCCATAGAAAACTTCACATATCCTATGAGCCACAGATCTGAATTCAACTTCAACGCTGCTTTTCGCCACGACACTTTGTTTCTTGCTCCTCCAGGTTACTAAGTTTCCTCTTAGAAAAGTGCAGTACCCTGAGGTTGACCTTCTATCTGTAACACTCTCAGCCCAATCTGCATCTGTAAATGCTTCTACCTGTAAGTGCTCATTTTTCTTGAACAATAGTCCTCTTCCGGGCATTTCTTTCAGATACCTAAGGATCCCATAGACAACCTCCAAGTGATGAGTATTTGGAGAATGCATAAACTGACTTACCATGCTAACAACAAAGACTATATCAGGATGAGTGTGTGACAAGTAGATTAATCTTCCCACCAGTCACTGATATTATTCTTTATTGACACCATCTATTTTATTTGTTACTTGTAACATTTTATTTGGTTCAATCGGAGTTTCAGCTGGTTTGCATCCAAGCATTCCGGTTTCACTTGGTAAATCAAGTACAACATTTCGCTGATTAATAAAGATCTCCCCTTAGATCTGACAAACTCAATACCAAAAAAGTACTTCACATCTCCCAGATTTTTAATCTCGAATTATGTGGCCAATCTTTCTTTTAATTTCTCAATTTCCTTGGCATCATCTCCTGTAAGGATAATATCATCGACACAGACAATGAGTATAGCGAGTTTACCGATTTCTGAATGTTTGTAGAACATAGTATGATCAGCTTGACTCTGAGTGTGTCCATATTTTGCAATCACATTTCCAAACCTCTCAAACCAGGCGCGAGGAGATTGCTTGAGCCCATACAAGGATTTATTCAATCTGCACACTTTGTTTCTCCAAACTTCTTCTCAAATCCTGGTGGAAGATCCATGAATACCTCCTCTTCTAATTCACCGTTTAGAAAAAAAGTTTTTAACGTCGAGCTGATGCAAGGGAAAATTACGGTTTGTTGCTATGGACAGTAAAACCCGAATAAAATTGATCTTGGCTACTGGAACGAATGTCTCTTGATAGTCAATTCCGTGAGTTTGAGTGAATCCTTTTGTTATTAATCTTGCTTTATATCTTTCGATACTCCCATCAGCTTTGACTTTAGTACTGAAGACCCATTTACACCCAACGGTAGACTTGTTTCTTCGTAGAGTGACAATTTCCAATGTCCCATTTTTTAAAAGAGCATCAATCTCTTCCTTTACTGCTATTCTCCAATTTAGATTACTAAGAGCTTCCTGTATTGTTCTAGGTTCAGACAGATTAGAAATTTTTGACAAAAAAAATTTATGTTTGTGTGAGATTTTTTGTAGGATAGGTATTTCGAAATGAGATATTTGGTAGTACAAGAACATGTTCCTTTTCTAAAGGCTATAGGAAGATCTATATTCATAACCTCTGAATCTTGAGCTTCTGTTGGTGAAAAAATAAGACCAGGATCGGGAATTACTTGTGTTTCTTAAGGACCATCATTCGGTTCTTAAGATTGGGAGGGAGCTAAAGATTCAATTTGATCCTCTTCCTTTTATGGAGCCTCTTCCAAGAATAAACCAGAGGTTCTGCTATTATATTATGCGGTATTTCTCCCCCTGTATTAGACAAGATAATTTCAGGTGTCCCTTAACTAGGATTCTTCTGGTTTTTATAATTTTCAACAACTATTTTTAGTTTTTCGTTTTCACGGACCTCAGGTGTACTTGCTGTTAGAACAATTCTTGGTAATTGATTAGAAACTTGCAAAAAAATCATCTTTTCCATCTGTATTATACTCCCCCTAAAGTGGATTTTTGTGAAAGAAGGGAATTTTTTTCCATAAAGATCACATCCATACTAATGTAAGTTTTTTTTATGACAAAATTAAAGCATTTGTAACCCTTTTTATTTGAGGCATATCCAAGAAAAATATATTTTTCTGATTTTGGATCCAATTTTGATCGGTATTTACTCAAAATATGAATGAAACATGTGCATCCAAAGATTTTTAAAGGAATATTTAAAGACATTCGTAGATTTAAATAATTATTTTTTAATTTATTTAGAGGAGTTGTAAATTGTAAAACTCAAATTAACATTCGGTTTATTAAATATGATGCTGTTAAAACGTCCCCCCATAAATATTTAAGAACGTTCATTGAAAACATGATAACCCGAGCAACCTCAAATAAATTTCTATTTATTCTTTCAACAATTCAATTTTGTTGTGGGGTGTCACGACAAGTAGATTGATGAATTATGTCTTTGTTTATTAAGAACCCCCCTAAACATTCATTAAAATATTCAGTTCCATTGTCAGATCTAAGGATGCATATTTTATTTTCAAATTGAGTTTCAATCATATTGTAAAAATCTTTAAAAAAATTTTCAACAACTGGTTGTTTGCTTATAAGATAAACCCAACATATTCTTGTGTGATCGTGAATAAAAGTCACAAATCCTCTTTTCCTAGATAATGTTTTGACTTTTGAAGGTCCCCAAACATCACTATGGATCATGTAAAACGGTTTTGAAGGATAGTATGGTTTTGGAACAAAATTTATGCAATGACTTTTTGCCAAATAACACGTTTCACATTGAAGTGAAGTACAATTAACACCCTTATTTAAATAAATGTTTTAAATAAGAAAAACTTGGATGGCCTAGTCTAAGATGCGTATGCTTGAACCCTTTTTTCACTAGGAACAGTCTCCTCAAAGTAGTAAAGTCCTCCCAACTCTTACACTCTCCCAATCATCATCCCCGACTTCTGGTCCTGAAAAACACAAGAAGATTCACAGAAAATTATACGGCAGTTAGAATCCTTTGAAAGTTTGCTGACAGATAAAAGATTACATTTGAGTTTTGGAATATGGAGTACAGATTTAAGACCTATACTCTTGGACAGGTTAATGTTTCATTTTCCAGCAATGGAAGAGAAAGTACCGTTAGCAATACAAACCTTTTCAAGGCTAGAACATGTGATGTATGAATGAAATAAATAATATAAATTTGTCATATGATCAGAAGCTCCTGAATCAATAATCCAAGGGTTTAGTTTTCTACCTGCATGTACCATTGAACAATTTGGAGTACCAGTAGCCAAACTGGGGTTTAACAGATTCAACAGTTGATCCATTTGTTCTTTGCTAAATGGGTTGGTTTATTCAGCAGCAACATTAACAGTAGGTGACTTGCGCTTGTTTCTTGGCTTCCAATCTCCAGGTTTACCGTGGAGGTACCATCAGGTTTACAGCAGGTTTCTTTAGTGTGTCGTGGCTTGTTGCAATGATCATACCACACCCGTGGTTTCTTCTCATTCTTCTGTGAATATGGAACAGTCCGCTTGCTGATATGAGCCTCCGATTGGAATGCTGTCGTCTCAGGTATGCTGGTAGGAGTGGATTTCTTGTTGAGCATCACTCCTCTTTGAGTTTCTTCACGGCGAACTTCTGAGAAAGCTTCATGGGAAGGCATGAGACTTCTCTCAATAATTCTGCCCCTAACCTCATCAAACTCCTTATTAAGTCCAACAAGAAATTTAAAAATTTTATTTGCATCAATAATGGTCTTATACATACTAGCATCATTAAGACACTTTCACTCTTGATCATTAAACAGGTCAAGGTCTTACCATATTCTCTTTAAAGAAATTCTCTTAAAGAATTAAAGTATTTTGTGACAGAGTCATTACCTTGACGAATATCACCAAGTTTCAGGGAAAGTTCATGAACCTGAGATTGGTTACCCATATTCTAATACATTTGGGTCACATTCTCTCAGAGTTCTTTGGCAGTAGAGTAACACATGTAGTTTGCGCCTATCTCTTCTTCCATATAGTTCACCAATCATGTCATTATCATGAAATTTTCTGCATCCCAGGTTGCGTGGGATGGATCTGCAGTGGCTCGCTTACGGACTTCCCTTGTTAGGTAGTCTATCTTCCCTCTTCCTCTAATTTCCATCCTCACCAATTGTGACCATCGTAGATAATTATCACCATTGAGACGGATTGTGGTGATCTGGGCTAGATGATTATCGGTGGTTCTAGAGGAGGGTGGTGCGGAAGCAGATAACAGGGTGGAAGGCTGAGTAGAGATAACATAATCATTTGTATTTTCAGACATTATAAAAAAAGATTGTTCGGTTGCACAGAAAAAAACAGGTCGAAGGTTTCGCGAGTTGCGACTTTGCAGAAAGAAGCTGCTGCGAGAAGCGGCTGTAAATGCTTTCTCGGCGACGGAATCCTCAGCGAATTGCAGAATGAGTTTAGCGAAGCAAATCACAGCGATGCGATCCTCAGCGATGACGCGATGGGATCACGAGTTGCGAATTTGCGGGAAACGAAGCAAATTGCAGCGGAGAAACTTGCGAAACGGGATGTTTTGATTTTTTTTTTTTCATATCTTTACGAATTGGAAGGAAGAAGGCTAAGGTTTTCCAAAATTTTTTTGTCCCGCTCTGATATCATAAAATAGCTTTGGAGAGAAAATTCTTTTCTTCTTACTGATTCAATTCAATGTTTCTTTACATATAGGAGTCCCTCCTCAGATAAGGAAACTAACTAAATATGTTTCAATTATTTCCTATTACATTACAAGACTAGTTAAGCAAAATTTGGTACAGATATCAAATAATATAAATAAGGAAGGAGAATAAAATCTGTATAAGAGGAAAAATAATAAATCCTGTAATTTGAATTAGATCTTTCAATAGTTGCAGCAAGAGGTGGTCTTGAAAGGGCCTTGGTGGCAGTCAGAACAAGCCCGAAGACTTAGGCGGCGGCTGGGAGATGATCGACGGTCACTGCGAGGAGGAGTCTGGTGTGATCTGCCATCAACGGGAGGTAGCAGGGCAGGTCGACAGTGAAAAGAAAGGCGTTGGAAGTAGATGGCAACAATGATGATGATTTGAGACTGTTGAAATTGGAGCCAGAGGGGTTGCGGAAGGATAAATGTCTCTTTGGGTTCAAGCTACAGGCGAAGCACCACCTAGACCCTTAGAGACGATCACCAACTCGGATGAGTTACAACTGGAGCACATTCTCATCGTCGGGTACAACCACCGGAGGGGAAGAATGCCTCAAAGGCAGCAACTGAAATCAACAATCATGAAAATTGTCCTCCCCTTAGCAAACAAAATTATAATCGCCCTATTTATTTGTATGTGTTTTTACTGTTTCCCAGCTTTCCTTTCAAAAAAAAATAAAATTTTATGGTTTTTTCAAATATTAAATGCAAGAAAAGAAATAAAATATAATATATGTATGCATATGAAATTCACCTTGAGGACAATGTCAATATTATTAGTTTCATGTGGTGAGTGATAGAACAATGCAGTTGGAGGGACAACCTAGACCATTTCCATGCCTTGTCTATTCTTATGTCTTTTCGACAAGTTAATTTTTATTTTGCTCTTCAGGAGCTCAATAGAGTTGCCCATTTTTGTGTTCGAATAACTCTTTCTCATAACTTTTCTTCTACTTTAGTGCCTGAATCTTTAGAGCTTTTTGCCACTCTCTGAGATGACAGGGCCTCATTTGACCATGCATAAGGACATGTTTTTTGTATTTTTCAACTCTTTTTTACGACTATTGTGAAATGCACATTTTTAAGGATGGTATTGACATGAAAATGTAATGTATCTCTTCAAAAAAATGAAAATTAAAAGATTAAACAGATATTTTTTAAAATATACATTTAATCAGTTACTCTCAATAATGAAAATATAACATAAATAAATAAAAATAAATGAAAATAATTTCTTTTACATCGCATTCTTTTACTGTTTACATTTTTTTTATAAAATATTTTAACATGAAAATTATTTTAATTTAGAAATATTTTTCCACTGAATAATTTTCTCAAACATGTTGCTAAGAACCAATTATTAGTTAGATGGACTCTAGAAAGTATGTGTACTTACGCAAATGAGCACAGATTAATAGGTATTATTTGCTAGTTTTTATTTTCTGTTAGTTGTAAATATTTAAAAATTTGTACGACCAGGTTGTAGTTTTAAATTTTATAAATAGAAAAACACTTTTATGTTTTGAATTTCATTTTAATTATGAAATGAAATTGTTAGATAGTTTTCCTATGCCTGACTGAAAACTCCCGCCTTGGTAATTCCAAGCTCCCGGGCCAAGTCGTGACAATATCCCTTTTTCAGAAATTAGTAATAGTGATATTTTTTATGTGATAAGAAATATTTGAGTTTTATAAATGTAAAAATCAAAGTTTACGTTTTAAATCTATAAATACATAGGAATTCTGTGGTCCATACATAAATGCCTCTTTATTCTTTATACTTCAATAATTGAAAGAACCCACTATCTGACCTTTATCTCCAATGCTTGCAAGAACAGAATAATATGCACAAGCCAACACCCCCATCTTACCCGGAGTAGATGTAGGAAAAAGTCCCACCAGCAAAATTAGGCGATGAATTTGGAGGAAGCAAAGGAAAGAAAACTTTTACAATGGCAGTTCCATTGTTGATCATGATTCCCACTTATATTACTCTTTCTCATCTAAGTTCTTCCCGCCCTTGGCTAACAACCATAACATGAGTTAGAATGACTCTACCCTGCTTTAGTTGTCTTCTCTTAAATTTTATTTTCATTTTTTTTATTAGTTTTTTTAGTATTAGAATATGGTTGCAAGTGAATAAATCAAAATTAGAGATGAAGAGATGTAATATGATCTTATGTTTAAGATTTAATAGCAAGTAAAGTGCCAAAATAGTCCCTCAACCATTTAAATTGGGATTCATTTTTGTCCAAGAGTTTATAAAAATGTTAAATTAGTCCCCAATTTGGGGGCTAAAATGGTTCTCACTCGACACTGTTTCAACCCATACTAAAAGAGTCGGGAGATTAAAGTAACACTTTCATAAACTCTCGGACAAAAATACTCACACACAAGAAATCAGGGGACCATTTTGACTCTTTTCTCATTTAATAATGATTGATATTCCATATTTCATAGGTCACGATGACCAATTAAATTTATTGACATATTTTTTGGGCCTCTCTTATATTACCAGATCAATCATATAGTAATTTCTCAAAAAAATAAAAAAATAAAAATAAAGATGGAAGATGCAATTATTGCCTGGCTGAATCCAATATAACTTTTTTTCTTGAAAGCTATAACAAAGACCTCAAGAACACATAACGCCATTGAAGTAAATTCTGGGGGCATTTACATACTTCACACGCAATTCTTATATATTTACATATCTCACACCTAGACTTTCATATTTACACACATAGCACTCAATAAAGTTGCATGAACAACATGCAAATCACTATTCCTATATATGATTCTCACCATGATTATCGAACAATGTTAATGTGCATGGATGTTTCTTGTGGTCATAAGGATCCAAGGTATGCAGGAGAGGAGAAAATTTTATAGGAGAAACATTTATGATTTGAACTTCAATAAACAACTGAAATAAAATCTACATGCAAATCATAAAACAGCAACAAAATTCATAGATGGATTACCTGGCCTACAGTCAACAAACTTTCATGTGGAAGATTAAACACCATACTGTTCTCCCTGCAACCTCTTTTAAGAAATGCATAAACATAATCAACAGCAATCCTTTTGAAAATATTTGAATTTCTCTGAGCCCTCACCCTTGTGTTACCCAGAATGTGCACCACCCCTGCTTCCTTGCATCTGGTTAAGATATCAAGCTCATCTTCGCTACCCGTTCTGGTGTCCGTAGAGAACTCTGTTATATCACTATTGTGCTCTAATGACTGTACAGGAATGGAGTCCTGCAATGAGATGTTTGTCACTTCCACAAGGGAGCACAAATCATCCTCATACTCAGCCTTAACCAGATCAAAAGAATTCTCATTCTGCTGCACCGAAAAATCACAATCATCCAAATCTGAGTAACTCGTAGATACTTCACGATGATGAACAAAGACAACAATGCTATCAAACAGCATTTTCTCAAAGTCATCATCCTTTTTGTGCAGGTCTTTGTATCCATACCTCACGACGCAACGAAATATATGAAAGTTCTTTGGGCCGATTCTCTTCACTAGGAAGCGCTCCTCCAAGGGAACACGGTAAACAGGAAGGTACTTGACACAAACAAAAACAACAACAGAATGGAGGGCTGGAAGGTTTGTAATAAGGTGTGAGAAGATGCGAGGTAATCCGCTCGGAAGTTCTGTGTATATAAATCCGATGCCAGGAACACGAACGAGGCCGAGGCTGGAACTCAGGCCATGGATCCAAGCCATTGAGACCCTGGAGTGCATCTCGAACTCGTAGCGCTTTACTGTAACATAATGCCAATCATACATGATGAGGAAAAAAACAGCTGCGATGACAAGTGGGACCCATCCACCTTCATCAACCTTGAACAAAACAGCAGAGAAGTAAGCGAGCTCGACAAAAAGGGAGAGACCAGTGAAGAGGATGATGAGGATCCAGTGGCTTCTCCAAACCAAGAACATTATAGGGACCATCAACAAGGTTGTAACTAACATGACTATCACAGCAGCAGTTCCTGGTAAGAGAATAATTAAGCTTTTAGTGTAAAAACAAGTGATTTATTTTAGGGGCATTTACACATATGCCACCCAACTCCTATGTATTTACATATGTAACACCTGACAAAAATTTTATATTTTACATTTATAACACTCAAATCTTCATAATACATAAAAAATACCACAGTTATAACTTTTGAGTGAAATACACATTTTCATGCACAGGTAAGATGGTATATAGGTAAAAATAGAAGTTTAGGCATTAGATATGTAAATGTATAGGAATTGAATGGTATATTATTCTACACATCTAAATTATTTTCAGAAATTTATTTAGATTTATTTTCTATTTATATTTTTTTCCTAATTTATAATAAAAAATAATCATGTGATAAAAAAATATTTCACATAAAAACCGATTACTAATATTTTCAGAAAGTTATGCATGCTTAAATTTTATAATTATATAATTAAATATTATTTATTAGACAATCATGCTTAGTTATATAAATAAAAGTTCATTAGGTTAGTCTTTATGCATTATTTTATATTTTTAGAATAGCAATTTTTTTTAATTTTTAAGATAACTAACTCATCCATTTTTCTTTTAAAAAATATTTTTTATATTTTTAATATTTTTTAGCTCATTTGATATATTTAAGAATTCAAGATAATCATATAATATATAAGATTAATGAAGCCACTACATTACACTAAATGAATTTAAGCTTAATTGATATATTTATCAAATTCAATGATTTGTTTACATATGATTTCATATATTATATTATATACTTTCTATTAAAAAGAAATTCATTATCCTTTTTTAAATCATTAGCTCTAGCTCCGCTAGGGCTTCCTTCGGTCGCAATTGATTCTACCGTTCTACCGCCGCTGGAAGAGAAAATCTCGCATCGTTGACTCTCGCTCCAGCGTCTACATCTACGTCGACGTCGACGTTCGCACTCCCTGTTACGACTCGCGTCGCTATATCCATTGCTCACGTCATCGTTCGCACCTGCTCTGCTCGACGTCGTCTTCTTCCACGCTTCTGTCGCTCGCAGCTGTTGTCTGCGCCCGATTCTTCTGCTCCTCCTTCGCGCTGCTTAGCGCCCAACTACGAAACCGCGGCGTCTTCCAACTTCTGCATCGTTTCCTCTGCGCCATTTCTGTGGTTAGTTTTTTCTGCCTCGTCTAGCTACGGTTTGATGAGATTGCCGCTGCGGTTTTGACATCTGTGGTGTCTTTTGCGCAGCTTCGCCCCGACTCGTTTTTTTTTGCCGTCGGGCCGACTTGCACGACTTTTCTTTGCTGTGATGAAGCTTCCCCCTTCGGTTGAGCCCGCCAAAACCTCTTTTGTCCACATTGTGGTTAATCCTCATTGGGCGACGACAGTTGTCTTCCCCTCAAGTTATAAAGAGAATCGTGATAGTACATGTGACTGCCCATTGATTAAGAATGCAATGAGAAAGAGTGGGAAAACAACACTATTTTTCTCTGAGTCAGAAATTTCAACCTTGACTGACAAATTCAAATTTTGAGGGGAGACCCCCAGCCATGAAAGTTATCAGGAAAAGTTTTGATGACCTCAAATTAGCAGGAAAGTGGAAAGTGGAGCTCAGAGATGGGAGAAATGTTTTGATTCAGTTAACCGTGCCTAAAGACTACACTCGTATTTTCTCCAAAAAAATATCTTAACATTGTTGGTAAACCAATGAAGCTAGTCAAGTAGTCTCCTGATTTTGACCCTAATCATGAACATCCTATTGTATCGGTATGGTTTATGGTTTAGTCTACCTAGTCTCAAGCTGCACTTTTTTCATCATCAGGTTCTCTACTCTATTGGTGTCATATTTGGGGACCTTATGAAACTAGATCTACCCACTTTCAACCTTACCAGACCTTCTGTGGCCAGAATACTTGTGGAAAGAGATATTATTTTGTCTGTCTCGTTGGGCACAATGCAAAATGGAGATTGGCAACAAATTGTCATGGAGCATAAATCTTCTTATTGTTCTCATTGTAAGATGTTTGGGCATACTCTTGATAAATGTCATAAGTTTCACCCTAATTTAAAATCTAAAGATCAAGTGAATAAGGATGGTTCTAAGGATATATTTGTATCACCTGGAGAGAAAGCTACCACATGACAGATTTTAGTGTCTGATTCCATTGCCCTGCCGTTACTGTTACTGCGAGTGATGTGATGCTGACACCTTCAAACCCATAGAAAACAATACTGATGGACTATTAACTACAAATGATAGTGTTCAGACTGATAATCAGGAGAGCCTCATAGCTCCACTTCTTCAGGAAGTATCCGGTGTAGGGGCAACTCATACTTCACATATGCTAGAACCTATTATGGGTACTACGGTTGGTATTCCTTCTGCTTCAACTCTACCACCCCATCAGACTGATTCTTCGGATGAGGAATGACAGGTATATTCCAGGAGGAAGAAGAATAATGGAGAGACACTCATCTTACCAATTTATTAGCTGGCTCCTTCTCTAGAACTAGAGGCAGAGGCAAGGCCAAATTGGGTCGCTTTCTAGCCAGCTGATACTATATACTTCAGCACTTTTAGGCTTTTTCTTTTACATCTCTCATGTATTTTTCTATATTTTCTAGTTTTGGAACTATTTGTTGTTTTTGTGTGGACAGGGTGTCATGCTTGGGCCCTCTCACACATTGCATCTGTATCTTTTTTTCTATTTAATATATTAGCCTTTTTTTGGGCTTTCAAAAAAAAAATCATTAGCTATTTTCACCCAATCTTAGTTATACTTACATTTCGGATTGTACATATGATTCACCCAAAAATAACCTATAAGAACTAATTTTTGTAACCACTAGAGAGACCTTTGAATAAAATTCTTGAGGATTTTTTTTAAGCATGATTCATTCAAAGATAGAATATAACAATTAGTTTTTATAGTCATCGGAGATAACTTTTGAGGTAATTTTTGAGGAATTTTACACTACTTATAGATGTTTCCTTTGTCATTCATAAGGCTATAAATAGAGAATAAAATAACACGAAAACATGCAAGCATATGAATTGGAAATGTGCTCAAGGGTTTTATTTCTTTAAGAAAAAAAGTGCATAATAGTAAAGTTTTTCATCCAATCAAATTTTCTTGAAGCCCTATTTTAGTGATCTCTCTCTCTCAAGCTTACAATCATTTGTAGGGATTGGTTATTTTATTAGTAGGTGATACCCACAGAATCACCACCACAGATCAAGACAACTTTGGCTAGAAAACTCTATTTTGTTTGTAGTACTTAGTTGCCTAGCATGTAAAAAGTTTAGTGTTTGGGTTGTAGTCGAACGTGGAGTGTGAGGTTATAAAAGTCCTTTCACCAGCTTGTTAACTAAAAGTTGGGCTTGTTTTATAAAGTGATACCAAAGTTAGCCCAAACCACAAAGAAATACATATATTATTGTTGAAATTCAAATGGGATACAATGACGACTCTTCAAAACAAGGAAAGAAATGACAAAAAAACACAAACAACACCATAGACCAAGGACAACGGGGCTAGATAGAGGTTGGACAACAAATAAGGGGGTGGTTGGACGCTGCGGTTGCCGAAATGGTGAGATGGCATCAACGGAAGATGTGTTGAGGGGATGGTAGCAACAGATTTGTGCTGGTGGCAGCAAGCAGGGAGGTAGTAAAGGAGTTTCAGCAGCAGGTTAGTGGAGAGAGCGGAGGGAAACTGTTGGTTGGATGGTGGGAGAGCTGGTGGAGGCAAGCAGGGAGATAGGAAAGGAGTTTCGGGGGTGGCGGGGGGGGGGGGGGGGGTGGGGGGAAGTTGGTGGTGCGGCGGTTGGTTGGATGGTGGGAGAGCTGGTGGCAACAAGGGGAGAGGTAGGGAAAAAAGTTTCAGCAGCAGGTTAGTGGAGTTGTATGGGGCCGCAACAAGAACAAGAGGGAGGACTAAGGTTGGCGACAAGGAAAACAGGAAAAGGGCGGGCTACAGATGGAAGGGAAGCAAGCGGGGCAAGGACTTAGGCTGGTGAAAGGGCGGGGCTATAGATGGGGGAGGG